GACTCAGCTCATCTATTGAACTTGGACCTGACAGACTTCTGTGATGTTTTGCAAACCAACATGAGCCACAATCCAGTGAGCATACATCATGAAACTGAGGATATAACATTTTCAACACAGGTAAAAAAGGATGTCCTAATTGACAATGTGCTTTAAATGGAGAGATAACACTAAAGCAGACAACCGATTGAGGTACCCAAGTGTCAAGAAAATAGAAACCATATAATACATTTCCTTTACCAATAATCTGCTTCGTTATAAGATTTTGACGAATATAGTGATAAGGAAAAAAATATAATAAAACAATTCAAATCTTTAGTAAAGTTACTCACATAAATTAGATTGAAGGCAAGTTTAAGTAAACTTAGCACAGATGACTAAGTAATAGATGATATTGGTTTTATAGTCCCCGATCCCACAATGTTATAAGTCAAGCCATCAACAATAATTACAGGAAAAAATATTTTGTGGTAAAAAACTAGAAAAAATTTTAGAATAATCTATCATGTGATCTGTCGCACCAGAATCAATTATCCATATGTTTGATGAGAATATAAGACATTTTTTTCTGATTCAACAAGAGTAGAAAATTTATTTAAAGATTCTTGATACTGAGTAAATTTAGCATACTTGTTAGCTATAATCATAACAGTTCTCGCAGAAGATAAGCTAACAATAGCAGCAATAATATTAGCGGCCTGTGTCCTCCGATTACGATTCTACAATTTCTTACAATACCATTTTATATGTCTTTATTCACGGCAGTAATAACAGACAATACTATCATCCATTTCAATCCAAAAATTATGAAAAATGTCACTCAAATACCTAAAAACCACTGCAAATATACAAAAAAATCTGAGTAAACAGAGTACCTCTTCACACACAACTGTCAACAATCCTATTAGGACCTCACTGCCAACCACCAGAGTCCACACACTGCAGCACGCGCCGCCGCCGAATTCACCAAAATACCTCATTTCGAGCGCAAATCACCACAGAACCCCAATGCCGGCCCTAATCTGAAATGGCGCTTGCAGAAACAGTCGAAATCAGGCTGGAGATCAGATAATCGCTTCCTGTCGCGTGATCTGCTCCGCCCCGCCTTTTCTTTCTTTGGCCTTTTGGTTTTGTGCACAGAGCCAGGCGACCAAGCCCTTCTGTTGCTTCTATCCTCGAACGGGAAAGCAAACTGCACAGAAATAAACTCCTTCGACAAACCTAACGCACACAGCCTTAATCTGCCGCGCAAACCACCATTTTGGCTTCTCCCGCGTACACCACCGTGATGGCCGAATCTGTACTGGACAGAGATCGTTGGTCGCCTTCCTCTGGCGTTGGGAATAAGTTGTTTAATCTTTCTTTTAGTATGATGAAATTTGACTCCTAAAACGCTAACGCTAACTTCAACTCTAACTCTGATGCCATGTAAAGAGATAAGGAATCAAAAATACTGAATATTTACATATCTTTTATTGAAATGAGAATAGATATATATATACATATAGATAGATTCAGCTATGGTAACCAACATAAAACACTATTAATTTCACTAACATATTTGGAACGATAATCATACTATTATGTAAATAGAATATTTTATAATATTCTAACACTATTCAATAAGTGATATGACTTGTCAAAATGCGGGGGAAAAAAGAGCAGGAAACTCAAAATATGCAAAAATAACAATGATAATTTAAGAAGTTAAACATTGACCGAGATCCTAACTAGAAACATGATAAAAAGTTCTCATTGAGTCACACAGACCAAAAAATATGCATCTGCCTACTACTAATTCTCATTTGATGGAATCCATCGAAACAAAAAAGAATATTGATTCTTTGACAATCCAGAGTAAAAGAGGTTCTACTCTCCAAGAATTTGTAGAAGATAAACAATAATTACGAATGATTCAACTAACCTTTGCATCGGTTTTTTGTGCATAAGGAATGAAGCCTTCATTTTGGAAAGCTACCGAGAGTTTTTTATGAGCTAAACCAATCCAAAATTCTAGCTCTTCACTTTTCTCGGTAGGGAGAACCTTCACACCAAAATGGGACAGGAAGTCAAGTTCAAATCCTGCCTCAGTTGCTAGCTGATACAATTTGTCAACTGAAACAAGGCTATGAGAGAAGTTCATAAGCTCCACTAGTATGTCATTGATTGACAATGCAAACACAGGGCAAGAAATACGTTGACAACCCAATTTCCCAACTGCAGCACAACAACTTATAGCCACAATTACTCCTGCAACACCACTGAATATTCTTGTGTTTAGACTATGTTGCAACAGGTGTTGATTCTTTTAAAATGAAATGCAACCACATGACTGAGAATACATAGTGGAATTCCATTAATGAACAGAAGAACCGTGGTATCCATGAAGGGACGAACTTAATGCAGAATGGAGAGAATTCTTTGCAAACCTTCCAGCATACTCCATAGACCACTTCTTCAACAAGGGAGCAAAAAACCCTGCTATACATGGCAGTTCCACCACTCTAAACCAATGAACTAATTCAGAATGTCTCATATTCAACTGGCTTTCAATGTACTCCCCCATCAAGTTTGTTTTTGGAGTCAAGCTGGAACAAATAAACAAACAAAACATAAGCAGACTGCAATGATTGGGTAGGAAATTGATGGTCTATGGAAAGATCAATCTGACGCGTCAATTAAACAGTGAATGAGTGTAGTCTGCTTGTTTTTCCAAACATCAGTCACAAAGGTGGAATGAGAGAACCTACCACCTAAAAGGTTTGGGATAAGAAATATTAAATACTCAGTGTCTTTATGTTTGTATTTAATATTATTTAACTAACAGGAGATGATAATTGAATAAAAGAAAACTTACATATCAGAAACAGGGGATGGATTGCTGTGGCGGTCATGTGAAAGCAAAATCTCCACTTCAATTGCCGTTTTAAGTAAAGCATAAACAGCCACCTGCACAGCTATATTAGTCAACAAGTTGATCCCATTTCCCTCATGTCTTCTATTAATCCTTATAGATAATCCAACTCCACCTTACGTAAGATAAACAGTTATGAATGAAAAATAATAGGACACGCACCAATACTTGCATAACCACAGTACCAAATATGATAAATAATATTTCAGTAACCTAATGGGATCAAGAACTTAAAATAGTAACATATTCTTTTCATCACTTTAAGATGTGTTGCACTTTGACAAGTACTAACCAGTTGCTATGCTTTTTTGTACATTTGTATGTACCTTATAAGCAATTTGTTTGTGCCACATATGAACATCCTTGCCATTCCAAGCCATAATAAGCTCTGCACTGGTTCCTGGCAATTTAAGTGACTCAACTGCCAGAGAAAAGCTGCGTGCAGATTCATGAAGTACCCAAACAAGGCAATTCACCCGATTAAATTCTGTTCCTTGCTCATGAGCTTCAGCCACAAGTAACCCATTCTTACAATCAGTTTGACTGGAATGATCTGAAGACATAGCTGACAATGCACCACATTTTGAGGGAACATGAATCGCAGCCAAAAATTGAAGTGGCAGCCTTTCCCTCAAAAAGAAAAAACTAGCCTTTCCATCAAACTTCTTAGAGTAAGAAATGTCCCCGTTAACCTTTTTTCTACTGTCTGATTCAGAAAATAATCTGTAGCAAAATAAGATTTAGATGAACATTGGAGTTCTCAAAAGTAATATATATATATATGTATATTTTTGTTTTCAATAGAATGTTCAGCTAATCAAATGGCAATCCTAGAAACAATAAGATAAAGAGGACAATAGTTTATCTGCATAAATATCTGCACGTTTTCTATTAGCAGGAGCAGAGAAGATCTTGCATCTGTTTTTCCCGCTTCAAAATTAACACGCTCAATCAACAAACTTTATCGTGCGGGTGTAATTACATGCTTGCATACAGTACCCAACTCATTCTATAAATCAAACAAATGAAAAAAGCTATACGATATAACTATAAAAAATCAAATGTAAGTTTCGAAACCAGAAGACACTAGAGATCTAACTCCACTAAACAAAACTCAACAAACAGACAAACATAAGCTCTACTTAAAAGAACATAGAAAGAAACTACTGCTCGATTACTAATTAACATCAATATCAGACTAAAGTCAATAGCATCTAACTACGTATCTATATATGTAAACACATAGGTAAAAACTTACCTGCGGTGAAGAAGACGGGGGAGTTGCAAGAGGGAGGCCATCGAAAGAGGAGAGGAAAATGGAGAGGAGAAGAAAAGAGAAGAGAGAAAGAAGGCAATGATGAGGTCTTATATGGGAGAAGTTGAGCGAAGCCATCAAGGAAGAGAGAATACAAAAATGGTTAAAGTAGAAGAAAGGTGTTGCCAGCCGTTTTTTGTTTTTCTAAAGGGTTTTTGGGGGAGTTGACAGGCAAAGTGTGGATTTTTATCAAACAGGCGGCCAAGTCTGGAGAATATTTGTTTTTTTTTTTTATTATTTAAAATATTATTATTATTATTTTTTGGATAAATAATTTAATTAAATAAAAGACAATTAGAATGTAATTAATATAATTAGAATCCTTGATTAACCATCAATAATAATTTATTATCGATAGCATTAAAGGGTTAAACAAAACTATATTAAATTATAAATATCTTTATTTAAACTTATATATTATTATTTAAATTTTATATCATATTTTTACTGACAAAATTACTTATAATTATTACAGACAACATTATTATCTTGATTCATTACAACCAAAACAATATTAATAAATATTTATCACCTAATAATCATCATATTAATTAGTATAGTTTTTTTTACATTTTTAAGTTTTGTCGTTATCAAATAATAGTTATTATATTCTTTAACTTATCAATTCTTAGTAAGGTGTTTTCCAAAGATGAATAAATATACACGCACACATAAGTTAAAAATATCTTTATACTATTTTCTTTCTTATGTTTGTAGTGAAAAATGCTTTATGATATTGTATAAAACATAGAGTGAAAAATAATTGTTTCATTTTTAAGCATGTTTTTACCATAATACCCTCAAAACCACATGTCAAAAGGGAAGAATAGAATACATACACTTTCCACTAAATCCAACTTAATCAACTACGAACCAACATTAACAATTCTTTGACATAGCTATATCATTTATACAATCAAAAAAAAAAAAAGTGTTTGTCTCCAGATATATAAACTCTGATGCACCAACTCTCTCCCTGTATTTGCTTTTGTGTGTGTGTATATATACGGTGGAATGTTTAGGATAAGAAGCACACTGAAGATGCAGCAACTACCTGCCTGTATTCTGAGGGGGTGTTTGTGTATATATATGTATGCATGGTAGAATGTTTAGGATAAAAAGCATACTTAAGATGCAGCAACCATCTGGCAGTATCAATGTGGGTGCTGAATTATCACTATAACTGAATCTCTATACCTTTCATCATGAGAACCAGATGTTGGCTACACAAAGACATAACCAAATGTTTGATAAGTCACAATTAATTGGCCAATACATTTAAGGATTTACTTCCAAAGGGGAATTCAAATGCAATCAAAGTTGAAATAACCAACAATTCAAGAAAAACAATTGCAACTATATATATATATATATATATATATGTCCCAGTCCAACTTTGAATTACTTACCACCCCAATGTGCCACTCATGACTTCTAAAGGTTCTGAAAGTCTCTGCATCCATTTCCTGCAGAAAAATTGTCCAATTTATTAGCAGCTAGGAAATATTATTCTCAATCACAAATTAAACATATACAGGTCATAAACATGTATGGGTTATTGTTCGTTCATGAAACTTTCTGAGTTTATTTTTTGAGACGGTTATCTAGCATTGAGATTTTAATTATTTCAACATATATGACTTTCCTCGAGTCTACTGCAAATTTCATTGTATGTAAACAGGCAAAACGACAAGGCAGGCAAACAAAAGAGTGTCCTCCAGTTGACCTTTTTGTTCTTTTTCTTATTCATTGGTGAAAGAGCACAAAATAAACTCAGTACTGATAATCAATTAAAGAATCAAAACCAACCATTTTCTTTTTCCAGCAGTTACAAACAAAAACAGTTACCTAATATAAGAAAGGATATCAATGTGAAAAATTCCATCATTGTCATGAGTGAGAATATAAATAAAAAGACCTTAGAATCCAATATCTGTTTTATGTGAAATCAAGTGAAAAGCTTCTTTCTGACTGATTGAGTCCATTTGGTTTATTCTATGCAAAATAAGAAACTGCTGTTTATGGCTCTATTCTACGATATTCAAAACTCTAGTCAATAAGGGATTGTCTTGATGTATGCCAAGGCCAAGGTACTTACAATACTGAAGATGGGAGGGACCATTGTCTCTGCTTTAGACTTTAGAGTTGGCATTACAGAAAACCGTGGCGCCAACTCTTGTGACCTAAAAGTCCACCTGTGTGTGAAAAGGGCGATGAAAGGGCTGTCAGCAATAGAACAGATGAAACACCAATCCACTACCTTTCCTTAATCTTCCTAGTTTGAGTATGTATTTTCGGTTTACAAGTTCATAGATAACAAATAAACTGGTGTTGTCTGTGAAGGACTCTCAGACATCAGATTTGTTAATTTGGCA